ATAAGTCATGAAAATAAATTTGAAAAACAAAAACACCTTCACAAAAAAATAAAACTCATTCATATTAATGCGGATTACAATAAATTTTTCATTTTAAATTATGTATTAAATATTAGGATTTGCGTTACAAAAATTGATATAACAAAAAAATTTTTCATAAAATATTTAATAAAACGAATAGTTGTTGTCAAATATTGTGCTTGTAGTAAGTACAAGCACAATATTTGACAATGTACTCTAGTGACGGCTCCAAATTCAATATAAAATTTCAAGAGAAAGTTTACATTTTATTAGTTTACAGATAAGTGATGTCGTTTTGCGGTGACAATTCATAGAAGAAAATAATTGATTAAAAATATGAATTGATTTAAAAAATATGTTTGAATTGCGATCAAATGTCTATCATCCCTCTCTCACGTCACCTTATGTCACATTTTAAGGGTAGAAAACCCAAAGAAAAATTTAAATTTATTGAAAAACCTCTAGAAGTACTATCAATTTTGTTTAGGACGTCTCAGAAAGTTTTTAAGTACAACCATTCCCCTCCTTGAAATTAGTATATTGAATTCAAACACAGTTGGCGCTAGGTAATTTCACGAGGCTTTATATAGAACGTATGTAACTTGTCAATTTGTGTTGTAAAGCACTTAACCTACAATTCCGACGTTATAGTGGCAAAATGTTGTTATTATAACATCTAATTAACATGTTTTCCATTCAAACTAACACACCCATGATATGCCATACATATGTATATGAAATTTGTATATAAGTATGTAGATATATGTACTTCAAAAATAAAATATCAAAAATTTTCATATTTCAATCTAAATTGACAATTAGAAAAAAAAAGTTCTTAATTTTCATATTTCTTTTTCGTTTTTTACTGAAAATTATAAAAACGTGACCAAAAATGTTATTCTAAAAAATTATTACTCGTATAATAACTGCTATTATTGCTTTTTTTTACTACTTTAAAGTCTTCTTTAATGACGGTACCTAACATTATGTGAAATGACAATTTTTTTCATTTATTTTTTAATTTATTTCATTTACAATAATTTTTGAAATTTGTTTATTTTAATTTTGTTTTTTAAAAGCCTTTAAAATGTTGATGATGAATGGCACCTGTGTAACAATGAATTCTACGGGGGTTTTTTTTAAGAAACGTGAGTTTAAATAAATATTTGTTAAACAGGAAATAAATTCTTAACAAAAAAAAAAATTAAATTTTTAACTTGTATGTAAATTATGAAGAAGAATTATTAAAAATAAGTTTGTTTGCTCCTATTAAAAAATAAGTTGAATCTTTTGAATATTAAAAAGTTGTATGTGAACAGAAGTTGTATATTTATACAAACAATCAAAAGAAAAGCAATAAAGGGAAGCCTCTTTAATTTTTTTTTAAAATTCTCTAGTAAATATTTGTTGTATAAATTAACAAGTTTTATATTTTTTTTTTAGTTTAAACAATTTAAGATTGTTCACCAATAAATCAATAATTATACAATCATCCAACAACCGAGAGAAATTTCTTAGAAATAAAAAACTCGCACAAGAAAATGCGACCCAAGTGCCAAAGCGGGGTGTGAGGACAGAAGACTCTTCTTTCATTCCGAGAGAGAGACATCAGACCAGCCCATTATTGTCACATTGCGTAGCAACAGATAAGATCCCAAGAGTCGTTCCATTCCTCGTGGGCTCAAAAGCTCTTGCAATTTCCATAGATTTCGGTATGACTCGGAGCCTAAATCAGATCAATTTCGACCGATTGCGCCATCTCGTTGAGAAATAACCTGCAATCCCGGATCATTCTAGAAGTTGATTTTTCCGCTTCCAGCACCCTTATCGCTACCGTGAAAATGCTGATACACTTATATGATATCACATTGCAGGTCAACCATTCTAACACATTGTTGATTGAGACCACCTCAGCCTGAAAGACGCTACACTGATCTGAAGGTCGAAAAGGTCACTATAAGAAGAAAATTTTAAATTAGATATGAAATCTATTAAAATTTTTAATTAAAAACGTAATGTGTGTATGTATGCTACATTTAAAGTATTGTAAAAGTTCACAACTTTTGAGAACTACTTTTTAAAGCATTGTAGCATACAATGCAGCTTATATACATAATTTACATTGTATTCCCCAAAAGCAAAAGTTATTGTTCAAAGCTTGCAAAATTTTTTTTATTTTATTAAACTTAAACACAATATAATTTATAAAAATAGAAGATTCTTAATAATTATACTTACGAGTATAGTTAATTTTATATTATAAAAGGATTCAAATATTAAATTCATATCAGATTCAATTCCGTTCTATTGAAAAAAAGAATGAAATTTCGAATAAAATTATTTTATAGATCTGTATATTATACAGGATATTAATTTTTGTAATTATTTCCGTCATTTCATTGAATGATTTTCTTGAATAGTATATGAATTTAAGTAAGCTTGTTATTAAACAACATCCTTAGTACATTTATACTATATCCACTTATCATATTATATAAATAAACTAATTTCAAATTGGAATATGAATACCTATAATCAAAAATGTATTACATACTAATAATTATAACAATATAATATTTATTAAGCTATTTATTAATACTAATATTTTCATTATTAATACATAATAGAATATCATGAAATTAGGCAAACAAAAGCGGAATAAAAATTTTTAATAGATTTTTCTAAAATTTATTATAATAATTAATCTTATCTATTCAATTAGTATCCATTAATTAACTCGGAAATCTCAGAACGGCCAATCGGCTGGAAATTTGAGGTATTTCAGCCATTTAAGTCGATGGGGCTGAACGGGATATACCCCGTTCTTCTGAATGTGACTCGGGAATGGATAATTCCGCTTCTAAGTATAATATTTCAAAGCAACGGATATACACCGGAGCTTTGGGGAGGAGTGTGTACCCTTTAATTGTATTCATTCTGAAGGTGAACCGAAGGGATATGATTCTCAAGTCGTTCAGATCAAAAATAACAATGTATGCGTTCCTAGAACACCACTCCACCCTTATGGACGGGCAAAATGGACTCTGGTTGTGGACGGATCTCTCACGATTCTCAATTCTCCAACTGATTTTCAAAAAATTCAAAACTTCTATAATTTTAAAACCGAACTCAAAATATTTAAAGCTATCTACACAAAATGAATAAATTAAGATAATTTCTTAAAGTGGTTTTTATTATTTCTCAATTTATGATTTTAATTTTAAATACTTTTTACCTTCAACTATACTTATGCTAGTACTGAATGCACATTATACGCTTCTTATTTAATTAAAACTTTTGAAATTCAATCATTTATAAATAAGATATATAAAATTGTCAAAAAAAGATTTCTCACGTTAATTGATCTTTTTCAATAAAGCAAAAAAAAATTAAATGAAACCGATCAATTTATTGAATTTAATCTTAAATGGTAGCCATAAAATACTTCAGATAAAAAACCAATAATATTTATAATTACTAATATGAAAGTAATATAACAGAGAGAAAGAGAGCAAATAATAATAAAATTGCAATATTTTATCTAATAATTTCAATTGCAATAAAATTTTCTTAAATAAACTTGAAAACCGTATCAATTGCAATTAAAAAAATTTTATGTTGTCTAATAGAAAGAAATATTATCTACTCTGAAACTTAAAATGTAGTTGTATACGTCACAACTATAGATGATACTAATTTCAACCATAAAGTCACAGAGTACCTACATAAACATACAGAAATACTAAGTGTAATGAAATAGAAAATTCAATAAAAGAAAATCAACGATAACACAATTGAAATTGAACTTATATGACAGTTTTAGAAAAATTTCTTCCTGTTTCCAGAAACCGCATCCAAATTATCGTTAACGTTATTATTTTATAGACATAATTATGTGTGTTGTAGCAATAAAAGTAACAATAATTAAGTATAGGCTTCGATAATTCTTTAGACATTGTATTTTAAACATGTTTTGTGAGTTAATATTCGCTCTACAATTCTTTGCAATTTTATCCGATCTGATTGGTTCCGAGCAGTGGAGAGCGGTTTATAAATTAATCGCAATCTTAAGATTTTGACGTTCATTTCCAGAATTAATAAAACTAATATTTACCAGTGCTCTATACTTGGAGTATGTTTAAAGTGTTATACACTCAAAAAAAAATAATTGTAATTTTTACTAAGTATTTGGTAAAAAACGCTGTACAATCATTTTTTGGTAATATTTACAATTTTTTTGTCAAATTTACCAAATTTTTTCACAATTTTGGTTATATTAACAAAAAAATTTGGTAAAAAAGGTAAAAAAACATGGTAAAAATATAATTTACGATTAGCTTAGTAAATTATGCAAAAAAAATTGGTAAAAATAAAATTTTTTTTGGTAAATGAAACAAATTTCTTAGTATAAACAACAAAAATTATTGGTAACGTCCATACAAACGAATTTGTTAATTTCACAAAGTAATTTAGTAAAATATTACCATGTTTTTTTATTAGAGGAACAAAACTTTTGGTAAAATTTACAAATGAAATTGGTAGAAATTACTTACAAAATAATTTTTACCATATTTGCTTTTGTAAATTCCACTAATTTTATAAGTTTTACCATGTCTTTAAGTAGATTTTACAAAAGCTTGGTAAGTATTACAAAACAATTTCCTAATAACTTTGGGTAAAGTAACGGCTTGTTGTATCACGTCATTTCGTTGTTTGTTCTTCAAAGAGAAAGAAGTGTTTTACAACTTCATTATAAAAGTTTTAACTACAATAAAATTAAACAATTTTTAGTTATAATAAAATTAAAAAAAATTAAACAAAGTGAAATTAATTGCCTTATTTATTTACCAATAAGTCTACAAATAAAATTTGAGAAATTTACATTATTATAGTGTGGCAACAAATAAATGTAAGGTTATTGTTTGAATATATTTGGTGATGGTATCAATTAAATATAATTTTAGGGACTGTATTTAACTTAAAAAAACACCGTGTTAATATTTGTGCTCAGATTTAGTTTAAAAATTTTAATGTGTTGTACGTAATCTAGAGTATTTAAAATGTTTGCAGTAGTGGACGAAGTCACAAAGCGAAATAGTAAAATGACATATAGCTTAGCCGCTAAAATTGCTAAAGAAATTCATGAAGTATTTCCTCTAAAACGTGAGGTTAGTAAAACTTTAAAATGCAATTAGATTTTTTATTTGATATTTTAATTTCCGCAGTCAACCTATTTTCATAAGACATTTTCATATAAAAGGACATCAACCAGGTGGAAAAATTTTTTATAAATTTTTTAATCAAAAAAGATCTTTACATAGTTTAGGACTTGAGAGGAACCCTGAAAATAATGAAATTTCCACAAAGAAATGCAATTTTTTAGGTAAAGTTAAAACTATTTACTTTAGTTTTTAAATTTAAGATTTTTGCAATGTACCTATGTTTTTTTTAATAGAAACGAATGGAGAAATCTCTGAATATTTAAAAATTTTAAAAGGTCCAACATTAACTCACACAGAGCTTGAAGAAATTTGGAAAAAAACTAGCAATTATAGGTTGACACAAATATCCGCCATGACCTCAACTAATGACATTTTGAAAGAATGGTTACAGTACAAAGATTCATTGGGATATAAACTGGTAAGGAATCATATATAACAATATTGATTATTTAATATTAGATACGTTATGTGATTGTATAATTTCTTATATTGCAGTTTGATATTGATTTTTTAAACTTATTTCCCAATGCAAAAAATGCACTGCAAGATATTTCAAGTTTTCATTTGAAAATGAGAGAAATATTCACAGAGAGAATAAAAGACGAAAATTCAAAGGAACTAATCGAAGTTCTGCAAAATTACGAAAACTTTTTTTGAAAGTAAGCTTTAATTACATTACATAAAATTTCAACTTTACTCTAATACAATAAATTACACCTTAAACCGTAGTATTCAAATTTTTTAAATTGATTAACAAAATATTTACAATATTTCTATTTAAGATGGTATAACTCTCACAACAATGTATTTACTGCATAATATTGTCAGACCCACTGGACATGTGACAACTGTGGATAAAGGAAAAAAAATTTCACCATTCGAGACTCACAAAATGCCTTCGTAATTATAGGAAGAACAGCTCAAAATGTTGAAGATTTAATTCAAGAAAAAATTCAATCTCAAGATTCTATTCAACCTCTCCTGCTTGTTCAAGGTTGTATCTCTAATCCAGAGGCAATATTAGTTTACTTCGATGGAATAAGATACAAAATGTATTCCATAGCAAAAGCAGTAGATACATGTTTTAAAATTTTTTACATTTTTAATTTAAAATTTACAATTCAAGCCAATTTGTTTTGGAGGTTCGTCGCCAATTTTTTTATGGAATATGTAACAACACTAATCATTCATCAGTTAATATTCTAATTGATGAAATAAATCAAAGTAGTATTACTGAAAAATAATATTTTAGCATTGTGTAATATCTGCTATGATTTTTGTTAAAATTTTCTAAACTTTTTTTTTGTATAGTTTATTTAAAACGTTATTTTTTAAGCACGAAAATGTTTCCTTTTGATATTAACTTTATATAATTAACATTAAAAAAAAATTGAAGTGAATTAAATGTCTAAATAAAAATTTAAAATAGAAAAACAATTTATTAACAAGTTTTTTTTAAGTAATTTCAGATTCCATAAGTATCATCTCAGCTAATATTAAATGAATTGGTAAATGAAAAGAAAACTGAAATAAAAAGACGATTCTTACCATATCACTTTTACTTGTACGTTTGGTAGTAATTACAATTTCTACTTTTATTATTACTATGTATATTTGTGAAATTTACTAGTACTATTTCTTATTTTTACCAAAGCGTATTGGTAATAATTACCCTTCTCATTTGTTATTGCTACCATATATACTTGTAAAATTTACCAATGCCATTTTTAATTTTTACCAAAGTATATTGGTAATTATTACCATTTATTTTTGTCACTTTTACCATGAATGCTCGTCATTCCTACCATTTTTATTAGTATAAGTGTCAATTTTAAATTTTAAGACTTTTACCAAAATATTTGGTAAAAGATTTGTCGTTTTTACCAAATTTACTTGTTAGCACAAAAGTACCATGAAAAATAGTAGTTTATACTCAGTTTTTGGTAATTATTACGAAGTTTTTTTTTTGTGTGTACACTTAAGTTTCCTGCTGAAAAATTTCCTACTACTTAAATTGAGAATTCTTGATCAAATTCATTATGAGCTGTTTCTATATTTCTCTCATTTCAATTTTATTAACCACCTGCAATCTAACTCTCTTACACTTTATCAAATTTATTTAAAAAAAAACTTGTTCCTTATTTCTAAAAAAATTTAAAATTAATTGGTGTTTTTTTTTTAAATTTAATTAAATATGCGACCGGCAAACAAACCAATTTCAGTTCTTTGCCATATTTCAAAATGCACAACACAAATTAGTAGCTTTAAAAAAATGTTTTTGAAATAAAATTTTGCGAAATTTTTTTTCGTCATTTGCGAGCTTCATCTATCAAACAAAAAAATTTTTTAATAGTTTTTTTAAAATAATTAGAAAAATTTTTCTTAAATTGCATTAAAAAAAAAATTAAACGTTTCGTTCCAATTGTGTCTATTATAATTTAAATTCAATCATTTTAACTAGTGTGCAGAGTGTATTTAAAACTATAAAGTACTCGTATGTGTATCAACTTTCAATTATTGCAATTGCAGACTATTTTAAATTGAGCAAAAAAAAATTTTTATCTGAAATTTTTAAATTATCATTTATTGTCTATCAATTAGATAAGAGAAAAAAATAAAAATAAAATGTTTATTTGATATCAGACTTAGATCACATATCACCCACCATTCAATGCAATTTCAATCGCATATCTAGCTATTGTTAATTTTTTATGCACAGTCTGACTTTTAAAACAAATGCAAGAAGGAAAAAAAAAAGTAAAGTTTGCAATTTTTCGATTAGTAGTCAATTAGATAAATAATTGTTGCATTTTTTTTCTCCACTTTATTTTTATTTCATTATAATTTTTATAGGGTTATTGAAAACTTTAATATACTAGAATTATATAGAGGAAATATAAATTCTATATTCAATTTAAAGTTGATCTCAAAATAAAAATCAATGGTTTTTTCTGTCTTAATAAAAACAGTAAAAGACTGTGTGTCTAGAACATTAAATAAAATTGGATTGATCCAATCGTTTGTTAGGTAGTACTTTTTTTGAAACAATCTCTGTTATCACGTGTTTGAGTTATTTAAGCAAGTATTTAAACTCCTTTTAAAAAAATAACAATATTTTACTTACATTAATCTATTCTAATATTTCTCCTATTGCATACTTTTAGGATAAAAACATTAAATGAAAGAAGCAAGAAAAAATATGATTGAATTTCACGGGCATGGAAGATCAAATTTAACAATTACACTTTTCATCAAAGGATATCAACCATCAGATTTTAGTTTTTACAGAAATTTTTATAAGAGCTTCCTGCTTTGAACAACTAGCGGAGATTCACTAAAGGCAAATAACCTTGAACAGAAAGAAATGAAAAAAAAAATTTTTTCTAACGAAATTAGCGATGTCTTACAGTCTGAGAGAAGAATGATACTAAAAATTTGGATTATTATAAAGGTTAATTTCTGGCGGTCATTTTGTCGAAATATTATTTTTGTTACTATTTTTGCAGAACAAGGAGCAAGTCACTGATTTTCTAGCTTTGCGAAATTTAAAAATATTGTTCACAGTTTTAATACTATAAGTTTTAAGAAAATCTAATTTTTAGGACTAGAAGATAATTTAATTTTTAAAATACAGGAAATGTGAAGGAAAATTAACAGGAGGTTAGGGAGGAATGGAATTAGGTTTTAAAAGATTTATTGATTTATATAAAATTTCAGCTTCCTGTATAATAAAGTAACGTAGAAGTCGAAAAGCACTTTTTTTAATTTTTTGTTAAAACTTTACTTAGTTATCAATTGTTTTTTTTTTATTAATAAAAATTAAATAAAAAAGTTAAGTGTACCAACATTAAGAATAAAAAATATACGTAGGAGGGAATTGCAATATGTCGAATTTAATTGAAATAAAATTAAGATTAATCTATTTGCAATCAATTTAAAATAACAATACTTTAGGATATAATTTACAATTATTTAAGGTTTTTGAACAAATAAAATAAACAGTTTTCAGCAAAAAATAAATATCTGTTAGCAATTTATTATAAAAATTTAAAAATTTCTTAAATGTTTTATAGAAAACTTTATTTATTGTCTCATATTATGTAGTGATATTGTTAAATATTTATGCTAGTGTTAGATACAATAACCGTAATATTAAAAAAATTTATTTTTAATTAGCTAATAAAAATTTTTATAACAATTATTTGGAAAATACTAAAAACTATCTCTCATGGTTTCTTATATAAGTCAATACAACCAATACTATTTCTCGTGAATTATTCGGAAAATGCACATTCAGATTTTTAAGATTTTTTATAAAATGGAATACTTTTTCCTATTATGACTACCATGAGCTATTAAGTGAAGTTTAGAAAACACAAAAGTAAATTCTAAGTACATTTATGACGTTTATTGAAACTATAAGCCGTAAACCTAGAGAAATCATTGCGAATCTCCCAATATAAATAAAAAATTAAATCAAATTTAATTCAGATTTCACTGTCCTACTAACTTTTTGTCATATTCTAATTTAAATAATATTGAAAATGCTGTATAAATAAATTTTAACAATAGAGTTTTTTACTTTATAACAACAATAATATAAATTTGAATAAATAAATGCATAACAATAAAAAAATCTTCGATAGCAGTCGAAACCCTCTGGTCTTAGTCTCTATAGTTATAACAAAACAATAACTCATTTTTAATAAAAAATCTCCTGTATAGTAAACACAATAACAATAACAAAAAACCCTTTTCATATTCAATTACCATTATCAATTTATAAATATCGCGTTATTGTCTTTCTATATTCTATTAAACTTGTGGAAATATTTGAAACTAAAAGGCCCAACCCAATTCTGTCCAAATATTTAAAGAATAAAATTTAAAAATTTCATTTTAATTTTTTGACATAAAAAAAATTTTTTTAAAACATTGGATTTTCCTATATAGCTTTCTTAGTCTTTTATATTGAATTTTCTATTTGACTTTTACAAATTACATATGTACATACCGTTGCTTATTTTACCAATAGCTATATTATTTTAAATACACAATTTCATAGCTGCTGGTATTGTCTTGAAGACAGCGGAGAAAAAAATTAATTTTAAAGTTTAGTTTTAATAACGTTTATACAAAAGGTTGTAAATATTGTTTGTACACCTCACATACGCCTATCTGTAAACAAAAGTAATAATATTATAAGAAAGTTTAAAATTAAATTGTAGACATATGTATGTACGTATATTTAAGGTAGGTATAAATTAAATACAATTATATAAGTCTAATAATTGTACTTATGCATATATGTACCATGAACATGTTAATTTTGATTTTATGGTTAATTGTTTACAAATAACATTTTAACATATTGTTCATTACAAAATTTTAAAAAGTTCATTCAATACATTAAAATTGTACATTAACTTATTTTTTTTTCTTTTTAGTGTTCCATATAAGGCATATATATAACTGTAAAAATATAACACTGTAAACTAACTACTACCAACAAGAAGGACTGTAGTAACAAAGGGTGCTAAGTAAACTTATACGGTAAACGGCTTCCCATTTTTATATAGAGCTTGATAAAAAAGAAACGCTTGTTACTCAATGTTGCTCAATTTTGAGTGAAATCATGCTTCGTTTATCCCCGAAAACGTCTGTGATATATCAAGATGTTGCGGACGGAACAGTGATGAGGAAAAAACTCATTTACTCCGGAGTGCTAGATTAAGATATCGTTGAAAATGAAGGAGTTAGACTGTTCATTACGAGCTTATTGTGAAATAAAATATCCTGTTGGTCTCTTCACAGGTCTGGTGGAGATTTTCTAGTTTTGAGCCGGATATCTTAAACAAATAAAAGATACGGACGCATTTATCAGGTAAGTCGTCGGCGGAATTATTCTTACTATATTAACATTATCTTCGAGATAGTATACTGTCATCAAATTATTCATAAAATTAGTCTTCCTCTATTCATAAAGGATATATAAATTTTCCCTCTACAACAATATTTCTACATTACATTGGCCATTACTATACTGGCATAGACTGTATTTAAATATTAATTTTCCTATTAATAGCTTACGTTTTAACTTAAATGATTACCTTTTAATTTAAATCCAATCTAAATTCATAAACTGATACCATATTAAGTGAAATCCTTTTCATTTAATTTAATTAAACTGCACTACTTATAAATATATATAATAATTATATAAAATGTATATTGATGTGCATTCATACAAAATTAAAATATAATACAAAAAGTTTGAAATTATTAACTTTTAACCA